TCTTGTGTGGGATATAATTGCTTTTTCATATTAAAGGATTTGACATATGGTGTACACCTCCCTTTATGTCTGGTCTTCCTAGTTAGCAGTATAATTAATTATTTGTTTACAAAACTTAAGCAATACAAAATACTTTTTGGAATGCCTCTAACATTCAGTAAGTGTTCTAACCTGGGTATTTAGTTATACTGTATTATAATTCTGTATATCGTCACTTCGTGACAAATAATTCTCATTCTAATTTTCTCAATGAGAAAAAAAAAGTTAAATGAAGCTGCCAGATCAAGAAAGATTGATTATAAAATCCGTTTACAGCTTTCACATACAACATGTTTATTGCTCAACACCTCCTGCACTATCAACAGAAACAACAAATAATCATGACACTTGTATACAGTAGCACTTTTCTGGACACTCCACTCAAAACGCTTTGCAGACAACAGGGACTCCCCTCCACCACCACCACCAAAGTGTGGCCCCACCTGGATGATGTGACTGCAGCCAGTGTATGGTCAAATACAATCCGTGAGTAATATGAATATTTAAAAAATGTGGTACCAGAAAACTAATTAAAAGTTAGTTCATTCAATGTCCAGGCCCCAGGCGTGAAAGTAATATTTGCTAATTAATATGAGGTTACCTTTCCCCTTTTACAATCTAAAGCAGCTTAAGAGAGTCAGAAATCTGTCACAGGCAACTGAACTAAAAGGGGCATGGATGGGTTGCTTCAGTAACAATGTTCTTGTATTAAAAGTCTGAGAAGGCAGCGGGTGTGATTTTCACTCGATTCTGAGCTCTTCGCAGTGCTTGGTGCGGATGTCCGTTCCCACTTCCCCGCTGTCTGTCATTGGCGTTGAGATCACAAGCCTCGTTTGTCTTCTGACAGAAGATGACCTTTTTGTTTCATGGTTTTTCTTTTAGCGCTGTGTCTGACTTCACAGCTTTATGATCCCCGAGAGTTGCCAGATTCTTTGTTGTAGACCTCTTGCCTCAGTAGCTTGGCCTGCTTCATTTGCCACATGTACTGGGCAGCTTCTCAGGGATAAAATTCACTTAAATACTGCACAGAAATGTCTAGAATTGTTTGTAAGCAAACGGCTAATGTCTAGCCCTTTTACCCAGGGGAAATCAATTTGAACTGTGGAATTTTGTGTTCAAATAGTAGCTGTGAATGTTTACACTTCTGACTACTGCTAATAGTACAGATTGGTGTCTGGAGAGCAAGTGGAAAAAAACAGTTGGAAAGAGGGTCTCTCATAAAATCATTGTGTCTAATGCTCGGACATGACAAAGGTCCTGTTCTTTGGTTCATTAGGGAAATCTGTCTGCTGTGCTGGCTTAAATTACTTGAATTGTGGTTGTTGTGGTAGCCATTTCAAACAAAGCCACTGGACAATACAAGATTGAAAAAATAAGAACTGTGGGTCTAGTGAAACAAAAAGAGTTTTAACATTTTAACAAATGGACTTTAATTCAAAACAGTCCTTTGTGGTAACTTAACTGAAAGTACATGTATGACTATCTTTCGTAATGAGGTCTAATGTTGTACAAAACACAGTAGCAACTCTTTTTCAGTCTTATGAGGTTTGTGTACTTTGGAAAGTGGTGCTTCTTTAAAATAGATGTTCAGGTTCTGTAAATTCAGAAAACATAAACGCTGCATGATTGAAGAGAATTAGACTTCAACTGGAAAATACTCTTTTGTAAAGAATGCACTTGGTACCCATACTAGTTCACAAAGGTTGTTTTACGTTGACAGTTTTTATTTAGAAGACGGGTTATCTTTGTTTTTATAGTTGCACTGGTAATGTGTTCATGGATACAGTTCAAAGATTGACATTGCAGCATTAACATGAAATGTTAACATGAAATAGAATGCTATACACGCTAACTCTATAATCTCTTACATTACTGTTTAAAAACATTTTCATATTCACATATTCATTAATTCTTTTCTTTGAACTGATCTGATCTGCTGAAGTCCCATGGGGGAAACAGTACTGGCACACTGTGAATGTCTGAAGTTTTTGAAGAACTTTCTTTGATATCCGATATTGTGTTTCCAGGTTACATAACATCTTTTTAATTCACTTCACATTCATTTTATTTTCAGGTCATATATTCGTTCAGAAATGCTTCTAAAGACTCCTTTCAAACTTATAAAATACTTTATAAATGGTTTGATGGTTTCAGTCAGGGTATCAGCATCTATCGTTTGATTTGTATTTTCCCCTTTAAGTCAATTGTCAAACTAATGTTTCACTTTTCCATCTTACAGTATCTGTTGTGTAGTGCCATAGTGACTGTCGCGTGTAACCCAGGTGTCTGCTACACCTCACTGTTGGATGAAGTGCATCTCCTGCTTTGTATAAAGTGCTTTGGAATCCTGTAAAATAAAAAAAAGTATTATAGAAATATAAGCGATTGTAAAATTATTAAAATCTGACCTAAGCTGAAATTAAACTGAGTATGCCAGAGCTAAGTTTGCTATTTCAGCACTTTTCAAAATCCTCCCATCATAAACTGACAGCACTTTATCATTGTTATAATAGAAACTGTGTCCAGTATTAACCAAAGGTTTTAGATTAGATTTTGTTCTTACATCTACACTGGTTTGGACAGTAGAACAGTTGTGCAATACTCACATACCTCTTGAAATGTGACCCATGGGACAGCGAGAGATTGAAATTTTTTTTTTTCCTTTTTTCTGCATGCTGTCTGGTTAAGCACAGTCTCCGCATGCGAAAGCAATACATTAATCTAGGTCAAATCCATTGAATGTATTTAAACAGTATTACAGCATTGTATTAATACCTACTGTAATACTGGGCTACTACAGTTCATTGGCTATAAAATCATTTTTATATTAGGTGCTTTAGGAAGCAGGAACGAGTAACTAACAGTAACCAATTACTTGTGCTATGAAAAACTACACATTTCATTTACTGATTTAGGGAGTGAAGTGGTGCTTGGTGGTAAAAATGTGTAAAACAGTGAAAAAATGCTGCATAATTCCTGTAATATGGGAGCCTTCAATTATTAACAATGAAAATTATGGGGGAAAATGACGTATACAACTGTAAGAAACATCTGAAAAAAATTGTTTCATGGAGTTGCACAGAGTACATTTATTGAAATTGCCTACACTGTGCTATATTATTTAGTGCTTTGCAGAGCCTTGCTTTGCTACAAACAGGAAGGTTACTCTGCACTCACTGCATTAAAATCCAACAGAACCATTTGACCTTGATACACTAGCTTTGTTTTGATAAATGTTACATTATAGTGAAAAGATTACCCTTTTTGGACATTTTGGTCTGTTGATTGAGGAAAAAAATTGCATTGTGCTAAAACATTTCTGGGTAATTGAGTAGTCTTGGTATTGCTTTCACATTGAGCCCTGCCTATTTAAAAAAAAATCAGTTTGGAAACATTCTGGACGCAAGACTCTTTTTCCATCATACTGTTTTTGTGATCATTTAAATTTTCATCTTTCTGTTCATAGTGATAAATGTGTTCAGCTCTGGAAGGGTTAACCGTCTCCACACAGACTCTCTCCATATTGGAGTCAGCTGTTTGCATAGGGATGCAAATGAAACCACATACCAATGCATGTTCTTCAGCTCCCCCTCAGCTCCCACTTCAAGCTGAACATGAGAAGCAGATCTTCTAGACAACTGGTTCTTGTTTTCATAACACATGTCCAGTTGTACGGAAATAAGTAGATTCCTGACCTGCTATCAGATGTAAATCTGAGGGTTTTAAAGAACAACACAATAAATGGGTACAGATAACATCTTTCTATTTGTAATTAGCTGGGTTTATTGTTCAGTCAAAGCAACATTTGTTTTTGTCACTTGGGTGCCCTGGCTTCTCTAAGACTTGGAAGGTCTCTCTTCTTTGTTGCAGTTGGATAAAATGAGGAGTGCTCAGGGACCACTAAGCTATAACTTATTTTGTTTCTAAATTATTTTCAGAATGAAACCAATGCAACAGATTTTCCATGCATAATACACCATTCACCTCTTACTCGTGATTCGGGCAAAATAAACAAATCTGTAGTTCTGTGGTCCTCAAACCAAGAATTGGCGAAAAGAACTGTCAATTTGAGTCATTCTTTTAAAAAAAATCTGAAATTATTTGCATAAAGCTATTACAAGAAAAATGTCAGGTCTTGAACAGAAGCTACAGCTACTATTTGTAGGGATGGACAGGAGCTAACTGTTTTAATGCTGGTTAAGGAAAAATGTTTTCTCCCTTTTGCCAAATCTTAGCTGCTAGTTCCACAAATCTTGGCCACATATGCTTAGGTGTGTTTATTAAGTCAAGCAATTTTTATCCAGAATTTTTTCCTGACTTATACTGCTATAAACAATTTGAATTACTTCACCACCATCCTGCACTAATTTGTTCAATGTACCCAAGAGAGAATTTGCAGGTGATCATATGATAACATGATGCATCTCTCCATAAAAAAAAGGGGTAGAAAAAAAATGAACATTTGCCTTCTGGCTGTTCTCCAGTTGAACATTTTTATCAAGAACACAACTGTCACCTGTCAGGTTTTCAAGACAAAACTCAGTATCTGCCCTGTCTAACAGAATTAGCCTCTGGAGAAGATAATTGCTTGTGAATTGAGTTTCTTTACTTAATTTAACTGAGCCCCTGCTAGCGAAAAACATTGATTTGCATGCACAGTGTACTGCACTTAGTTGCTCATGTGCAAGTTTTTCCATCGTTTTGTCCCTTCAATCTAGGTGAGAACTCTTGTAATAATTTCACCAAAAGTAGAAACTGTTTCAAGATTATGAGAGAGTGCCTCAGAGACAGAGAATCTATTTTGACTTACTCTGGGCCAGAGCCCTGTACACAAAGTGCTGATAAGTAGAAAAAAACTGTGTCAGTTCACTGGAGGCTTATGATTTGACAATTACCATATGGTACTTTTTCGCAAAAGAATAGTGAACCACCCTGACCTCCCCTGTCTTGTGTGTCCCCAGGTGCTTTTGCAAAGGTGAAAGAGAGCCAGCGGATGAGCGATGAGGGCAAGATGGACCAGGAGGAAGCGGATGGGATCCGGAAACGCTGCCGTGTGGTGGGTTTTGCCCTGCAGGCTGAAATGAACCACTTTCATGACAGGCGGGCCGTTGACTTCAAGGAGATGATGCAGGCCTATCTGAGGCAGCAGATCGCCTTCTACCAGCGCGTGGGGCAGCAGCTGGAGCGAACCCTGCATATGTACGACAACATCTAAACCCGGACACCTGTGAAAGCTCACCTGCTCCTGCGCTCTCCACTCCATCTCTGTCTCCAGTTTAGGGAGCTCTCTGAAATCCTGTGGAATCCTGGCCATAGGGCTGCTGAAAACAACAAAAGCTTCCATGCCATGAAAAAGGCTTATATGGTCATGCTTTACACGTGCCTCTTTTAATAGATGTCTTAAGATTTGCTCCTAGGATTACAGTAAATGGTATCCCAGAAAGAAACAAAAAATGGGGAAAGCACAAAAGGATTCATCTTCACTGCTGTGCCTGTCGATGCACTTTTGGATAATCACTTTACTTAATTATTTTTGTTCTGGGTTTTGTAAAAGGTTCGCTCAAGCAGATTGTACTTTTGATTGTCCTGCATATATGCTGTATATATGTTTGAACTGTATATATATTTGAACTGACACTTCATTGTTTTCAATTATGGGGCTAGACCTGAACACTTCCAAGTCTTGCAATGAGGGATATCTACCATTTTACAATGAACTGTGTAATGTTGACATTTAGATTATTTTCCTATGAGACAATACCTAAATACCAGCACGAGGCTTTGATCAAATTCCAGTTGACACTTAATATACATGCCTCTTATTTATGAATTATGTATGCTCCAGGGGAAAAAGTGACCTGCTCGTTTTTGGATGGCAATAAATTGGCACAGGACATCTGACTATACGTGTTCCACAAATGACCATATTTTGTGGCTAAAACTGAATTTGCAGTCAGAGAAGAGGGCTGGTCTGTGAAACACCGTCATCTTGTGTTCCTCTAGAACGTATAAGGAAATAGTGGGCCAGATGCTCAGGTGTGCACTGCATTCGATACCAAAATCTTTATGAGAGTGGAATTGCGATGCAAAATGTAAATGTTGCCTATGTTATGATATTATGCCTTCCTGGGTAATTAGACTATATCAGGGTCATGCCGATATCTTTGAAAGTCACTACTAAAGTACTCAAATAAAAGAAAACATCTTTCTTCTGATCATTTTGAAGCTGTGCCTGAAGGAATCCATAGACTCTAGGTAAAGTAGGAAAGTGGGAAGCAAGTTAGGTGGATTACTTTTTTAAAACCTGTGTTAAGATCTTGAGCTGTTTTTATTTATGCTCAAGGGCAACTGAAGTCTTGTCACTGCAAGGATTCTCTTCCTCAGTTGGTTCATCTTAGACAAACCCTTTGGTTTGTTCAAATATTATGGGGTAATCTATTTCTTTTAAAAATATATCCTTCAGAACCACATAAGTGACTTGAAATACATTTCAAGTGCACAGTTAGAATGTGAACTTGGTGTGTTGTAAAACCAAAATATGAGGACTGCTCTTTGTCACACAGGGTTCTTGTTAGTCAAAAGAAATCTTTCGTCATATTGTATACAACAGAAAGTTATGGTTATATATTATAAGTGTATTATCTTAATTGTTCCATGTCATTACAAGTAATTACTGCCATTGCAGAACTTCATAGTTTAAGGAAAAGAAAGATTTATAAGTGTTTTCTGATCTTGGATTTTGACCTTTGTAGTTTACATAATAGGCCGGCATGGTGGGTCTAGTTATAGAATAATACATCTATTGTGTGGAAAGTGTGATCCCCCTGTGGTAGCTTGGGGTGTCTCCCAACGTCCAATGCCATATTATCCAGGTTAATTGGAGTCTCTAAATTGTCCCTGTGCAGGTGCACTGTGTGATGGACTGTGGTCACATCTAGTGTATAGCTCTCCTTGCACCCTGTGTTTCTAAAGCTCCTGTTCCTTACTAGGAATATGTGGCTTTCTGATAGTAGATGGGTTTACATCCATTTTCTAACTGCTTCATTGTTGCAGAGAAGCTGGAGCTTATCCCAGCAAGCAAAATATTCAAAGCAGGGTACACACTGGATGGGATGCCAGTCTGTCTCAGGGCACACACAAACATGCTCACTCACACGACAGAGCCAAGGTTTTCCTGAAGCAAATTCACCTACCAGCATGTCTTTGGACTTTGCTCTCCAGTGCAACAGTGCCGCCCAAGAGATTAATTTATGAACTAAAAACGCTGAAGTTGTTTTAATTTCTTGAAAATTCTTGCTTTTCCTTAAGCAATTGTATTTTGCTTTGGTGGTTTTAGCTGTGCTAATTTTGAAATTGCATATTGAAGCCTCTACCACAACTAGGAACATTCCTTGATAATATATTGGATTCCTTTGAGAGATGATGAAGCGAGAGGATGAAGATGACAAGAGAGACTTGAAAGTGATTTTCTTAAGACACACGTGAAGCCTCAGTCATGATGTGGTCTAAACGCAGCAATGTGTTTTTGTGAAGACTACCAGGCATGCAAAAGAGTGGATTTAATGTGGATGGACCAACTACAAAACAGACCAAGGATTTTTGTTGTATTTTATTTCTTAGAGAAGCAGCAGGAAAAAATGTATGAAAAATAACTGTTAAAGTTTTCAAATGAAGCATGGTTTTACAGAGAGGGAAATCGTTGAAAGTCTTAATAAAAATGATAATTGATCAGTTGCTGCTTGAGTAATTGAATGTTACATGGTGTTACAAGAGTTTATTTAGAAATGGGTACATAAAAAGTATGCTTTGTTTTGTTGTTTAATATCATCATCCCACACATGGTATCTTAAGATGCAGCTGAAGGAGCAGGGGTTTCCATTTTATAGTTACTGTAGTTTAGGGCTTGGTGGTGTAACTGATAGGGTTTGGTAGAGAAACTGCAGTTACAACAGCTGATTTTAAAAGTTGGCATAATGATTAGTACTTAACATAGCCATTTACATGAAACAAGAGCTCATTCTTCTGTTTTTATATTGCTGCATTTAATTTCTTATTGCACATTCCTGCATGCTGTCTTTTTTTAGCAGCTGAAAACAATTAAATGCAGCATACTCTTCCTTGCCAGAGGAGCTATTTCAAGAATACAGTCTACTGAGCCAAAAGATTGTCTGTGTGGTGAAACCTTGGTCACACCTTTCAAGTTCTGGATGATTATATCGCTTTAACTGGCCCGTACAAAATGACCATTGTTATATCGCATTGTTATCCCATTTCTACAGCGGGTACAGTGATTTATAGCCATCAGTCTCAGTGATCAGATTGCTGTTCCAGTGCAGCATATGTGATCTGTCCCCAGCTGAGGATTCCACTGTACATTTCTATAGTGTACTTCACCTCTCTAGTGTGCCCCTCGGCACCCCAAGATTCACAGCTCTGCAAACAAATTAGGTGAACCAAAAGAGCAGTAATTTTCACAGAGTTTACGTTCCTGTCTGCACAATTATCCTTTTCTGATAAATACCGATTAGGCAATATAGTGTATTTTCTTAAAACACAAACAAGCCAACAAAAACATTTGTACTGTATCTCCAGAAGAAGAAATCAGCTAAAATTCTGTGTATAGACTACTGTGCTCCAAAACATTTCAATAAAAAGCCCTTGGTTATCAGGTCACATGATGAGCTCAGTTTAGCAGTCACATTAAAGGATTCATTCATGAAATATGAAAAGTACCTTTTGATGAAGAATTTACTGCATTTTAAAATCAATTGTACAAACATGGTAATAAATGACAACATTTTGCAGGAGAAATGTTTTATTATATAATATTATTGTTTTCTGTTATTTTGTTGTTCTTTTGTGCAGAATGTGCGAGTAAAAGTCAATGTATTTGGGAGTTAAAATATTATATAGACGATTTGCACAGTTTATAGTTCTTCCTAATCTAGTTCCATGTTGGATAATTCTGGTTGTCAGCACCAGTAAAATAAGGTGTGTCAGCCCAATATGTCGAATCTCACTTGCCAAAGTTAAAAATGACGTTAAAATTATTGATGCCTTGTTATTCTGGAGCCCAAAATAGATACTTTATTCAACAAAAGTTGGCATGTGGTTTCTTATATGCAGCATAATCACAAACTGTACTATATAATGCCACATCATTATACAAACACGTCACTTATTCATCACTGTATTTTTGCCTCTAATTCCAATAGAACAGCTGCAGGTTTGTTGTCATCAGAACATGTTAATTTTAATGTAAGCTTTTTCTTTTAAAATAATAATATAGAATTATATTTCTTACATTGATTCATTGTATATCACTATTAAAGTAGTAATGCTGTTGGACTTTGGGAAAGTTACAGTAATTCTACATCAGAAGAAAACCTGAAATGATATTAGCTCTTCTTGTGGGTCAGTCAAAAGAATCAGCATTTGTTTATTTGAAAGGCACTTGGATTATTTTAGCAGTTGGCAAGCCATTTCCAGCATCTCCTGAAATCAGTTTGACTCCAAAACTACAAGCAAAGTGCTATGAAAAGTAATCAATAAGGCATGGAAAAGACTGAAATACGTTCCAAAGCAAGTAAGATCTAATGTTATAATTCTTACTAAGGGATACTGGAGAAAAGACTACTAGACAGTTTTTGTTGTAGTAATCAGATCGGGCATTTTTGAACTGGAAGAACTTTAAATGGTTTAGAGCAAAATCCTATTTTATTGTGGCCCTTAAGTACATTTCAATGATTATCAAAAAGCATTACCCAATATCACCTTCATGTTCAAATACCTAAATCATAGATTAACTGAATTTTGCTACATCAAACCATAGCTGAAACAGTAAATGATCCGCAGTTTCGTACCTTTCACCTCTATGTATATCATACCACTGCAACATGCACAGGAAAACTTCATTTTAACTATGGTAAATATACTGCAGTTTTTTAATGCCTGTCTGATATTTCATATCTGGATGTAAGGAAACAAAATGTGCTACCAATACCTAAATTCCAATACATTTTCTTGGGTGTGTATTTTTTATTGACATTTTGTTGTTGAAATTAAACAGTCTTAAACATTGTGGGCTCTTAATTAAGTCCACAATTAAGACCAGCTTGCTTTCCCCGTCTGTGTTTCTCATACTTTTGCAATGCACTGAAGGAGTTCAGCAATGATGTTAACTAAGATGGATTTGCCAGAAAAAGTCCATCTTATTCCATCTACTGCAGAGCGAGGTTCAAAGCTGAAGCCCATACTGTACAGTATATAAATGAAAAGTCCCAGTGTAAATTCAGTCATTAGACTGTTGAGAAAAATGAAACGCAAAAGAAAAAAAAAACATTGGAAGAGACTGTCAATTTTTAATGTTTTCTTTTCCTGATTATAATTTTAAAGTTTTGCTAGGCAGATATTTTTTCTCAATCAAATTAATCTTGCACATCGGCCCAGTGATGTTAAACCCCCTTTTTCAACAGTATCAAAACAGCTGGAGTTCATTGGCCTTCATTCAAATAGGTTATGAATGTTTGCTCTAAAAATATTTTTAAGGAAATGTGTATATTACCCTTGGAAATTCATATTCCGTTGCTTCATCCCTAAATGAGCTGAACACTTGTAGCTTCTTACACTTTTTAAATCCTGACCTGATATCCGCCATGCAGTTTATTTAAACTTTTGCCTGTTGGACTACTGGATGGCTAGTTGGCTTAAAATGAAAAGTGTCAAATCATTAAATAAGAAAAGCCTGTAGCATAAGAACAGTGGAAATTGTCACATGATTAATACATTAGAATTGCTTTAGAGATGAGGGCAATGCCAGAGGAATAGCTATTTTTTGTTTTTTCTTACGAGTTTTTATTCAACGAAGGAACATATTAAAAGAGGCAGACTCGCTTCTTTTTTTGTGGTTATAGCCCAGGGTTGAATGAGGTAACAGCCTTTTTTTGCAAGAAAAAGGAAAGTTTTAAAAGGAGATAGAGGAGCCAAGAGACAGTGTCATATAACACTGGAATTCCCAATATGTATGACTTGCTCATGGCCATCTTGTCAGCAGATGGTAAATAGGGACTTGCCTTCCAGAAGAGGTCTGATCACTTTACCAGTGAAAATGCAGCTCCTTCTGTTTGGTTTGATGGCAGAAGAACTGCAATCACTGAAGGCAGGAGGGGCGGCCAACATCAGTAAAGACTGTGGTGCTCAAAAGAGTATATTAGAACCAAACATAGCTCTCAGTGGAACAGGAAAATCTGAGGGTTTAGAAATGCAGAACTAGCAGTTCAAATTGGAAACAGGGAAATTCCACACTTTATCAATGTCAGTCCTGTTCTCAGTTATTGGTGCAAAAAACAGATTCAGTTTACATAATGGAACAGGTAAAGGTTCAGTCCATGTTGAAAGGTAAAGGAAAGAAACACCGTTTGGCTGTGGAGTCTTCTTTAGGTGTGAGGGAGAGAGGGAGGTACAGTAGCTAGATAAACATGGCAAAGGAGAACAAAAGACAGAAAAGATAAGAAGGGGCAGGGAGAAATGGGCATGAAACAGGTGAGAATGAGTGTACAAACTCAGGGAGAACCGGAGGATAGATGTGGAAAGTCAAAATGAATAGAGAGCATTTAGAAGGAGCTCTGTCAGGATAATTTTGGTTTCAGATGTTTTTCTGCAATAAGAGTTCTGAAGCACCATTAGAGGCAAATAGGGAAATATTGGTTTGGAGAGCTCTTTGGTTCTTACAGCTCTGACGTGTTCCCTGAAACAGTCTGCCAGTCTTTTTCCTATCTCACCAATGTAAATGGCTGGACATGTTCTGCCTTACATGCAGTGAATGAGGTGGCTGGAAATACATGATGTCATCTGGGAGATACAGTTGTCCAGAGGGGCCTTGAATGTACAGACAGAGGAACTCCTCTGTCGGTGAAAACATTTAATTTGATGAAGTATCGTGAAATAATGAGTGTGTAAATCAAAAACTAAATGTTAACAAATCAGTTCTTCAGAGAAAATAAAGCACATGACCAAAAAACACCAGTATCATGTTGAAGTAAAGGAGTACAGCAAATTGGAAGCACAAGTAAAAAAAGATATTAAACAGACCAAGTAATGCCCCAATTTTTTATTTTTAAATACAAAAGTGATATGAAATGCAAAAACAGACTTTACATGATTTCTCTACTGATGAATCTTCAAGAGTTCTATAAGAAAAAAAAGTTGGACTCCCGCACAGAGTCAAAATTGTCACAGTTCAACAGGCTTTGGATGAATAAAGAGCAGCAGCTTGTAAATTGAGAGGGATAGTTCATGAACATTACTGTGGTTACCACTCTGGCAAACTGAAAATTCCTGGTTCTCTTTTAGGACACTGGGGAGCTGTATGTAATGATATCTCACATTTGAAAGGAAAATATCCCAGACCAACTCCAGATGTGGTTCATTCACTTGGGCAGAGCCTTGCAAAGAGAACAATTCTAATGATAAATGGGTAATACCCAGTAGGTGGGGCAGCTCAGTCATGCGGCCCTCTATTGCAGACAGTTCTGCCAAATTTAGTTAAAATTGCCACCTATCCATCTTCACACAAGTTATTTCAGATGTCTAAATAAAATTCAGAGACATTCCCGTGGTTTATATTGTATCCTACATTTAGATTATTTGTATGAGTAAAAGCTCCTGCAGCCGTCATAGTCAAATGAATATCACAACTGTCCAATTTGTGAATGTATATCAAAAGACACAATTT